AGGAGTTGGAGGTTGCAGTGAGCTACAATAATGCCACTGCACTCTAGCCAGGGTGGCAGAGTGAGACTCTGTCTCAACAAAAACAAACAAGGCTGTGAGCATCCCTCCTCAAAAACCCCCACCCTTTCATCAAAAAAAAGAAACACAAATGGTGTTCTGTTTTTTGTTAGAACTTGTATATATGTGAACTATTTTTTTTCCTTGATGGTTAAAGAGAACTTAATATGATAATAAATGTTTATTCTTATATTTTATCTTAGTAAGTGAGGAAAAACTTGAATATTTATGAACTATCTGAGCTTAATTTAGCAGTGAGTAGTGAAAAATAGAAAAATTAGTATTAATTTGGATTTGCCACTTAACAAGACCATATGATTGTAGGTAGTGAACATAAAATGACCAAACAGGAATAATACAGTTCAGATGAATTTAGAATGAGATAAAGATGAATTCATTCAAATTCATTTTTTTGAGAGGATGACTTTTATATTTATTCTTTCCATAGGATGACAAATCAAAAAAGCAGTTCGTTTGTATTAATACCTTGGAAGACACACAAGCTGTTAGAGCAGTGGCTTTTCATCCAGGTGGTGGTTTATATGCTGTTGGTTCAAATTCAAAAACTCTGAGAGTATGTGCCTATCCGGAAGTCATTGATCCAAGGTAAGGACAGGTGGTTTGTGTTGTCATTCTTGCCTTAGTTTTTAATTTAGCTATATAGGTCCTTTTTTCAGAATTACCATACAGTAGTGTTTCAGTTCTTACTTACTTTTCTTCTATTAAGCTTTATTTTTATTTTCAGTGCTTAGGGAATACACTTAAGTCATTGATTATAAATTTTTTTCATAAAGTGTTTTTTACTAGGCCATTGTTCATTCTTTAGTCTGCCTAATTTCCATTGCTTTTGTATTTTGTTTTTTATCTGAAAAGTCCTTATACAGAAGTCCCCACTTATCTGCAGGGCAAATGTTCCCCCAGTAGTAGATGCCTGAAACCTCAAATAGTACTAAAGCTTATATATATTATGTTTCTCCTAGACATACATACCTACCTATGAGAAAGTTTAATTTATAAATTAGGCACAGTAAGAGATTAGCAAAAATTATAATAAAATAGAACAATTATAACAATTTACTATAATAAAACTTACACATATGTGT